TTTTCTGTTGTTGCTTCTTTTCAGGGTGACTCTGGTGGACCTCTTGTGTGCCAGAGGAACGGAGCCTGGACCCTGGCGGGTGTTTTGTCCTGGGGAAGCTCTACCTGCTCTCCATCTACCCCCCTCTGTCAAGGCCGCGTCACCTCCCTCAGATCCTGGGTGGAGCAGACTGTTGCCGCCAACTAAATACCATCCAATGTCTTTCTGCTACTCAATAAAGTAACTTTTATATTAATATACGGCTTTTCTTAAGATTCATTCATTCACAAAATAAACATGAACACATATTAAACAAATGATATAAATGAGATGTGTAAAGGGTTTCCAATCTCTCAATTTCTTAAGGTGGTGACAGATTCCCCCTCCCCCCTTCTGTTCCATTGTGTAATTAGTTCACCCCTCCCCCTTGTACACCCACTATGAGGCAGAACAAGTTTTACATACTGTATACGCTATGGGCCTGGTTATTCAGCGATAACTTTGTCATTGCAACATATCTTGTTTATGTTGAGGTGTGACGGGAGTCACTTTGGTGGGGGGCCCATGGAACACAGCTCACTTTGGGTGGGGGGCCCATGTAATACAGCTCACTTTGGAGGGGTGGGGAGACCCCTGTCTCAGGTCCCCATATCCCTCTTATGTGTAAGTCACCCTGTGCATGTTAGGGGTGCAGGATGATCTGTCCTAATATTGTGTAGACATGTATAGGTGAGGTGGGGGGTTGTGGATTGTTTAATGCCATGTGGTGCATCCCATTGTTCTATTGTGTGTCTTGCTTGGGAACAAACTATTATGGGATGTTTGTGTTTGTGTATTGGCTTGGTGGGGGGTGTCTCCAGCAGCCCTCCCCCCTGATGGGACTGTCTGTTAGTGTGTCTCTTGTTACTAAATGTAGATTGCCCCGCCCTGTGTCATTATGTAGGGAGGGGGATTGTTCCCTTGAATGTATATATCTTGTATCTGTGTTGAAATAAAGTAGTCTATTTCCAGGTTTCCTTCATGACTGGTGTCGTCTAGTTTTGTTTGGTCAGCGGTGGTGTCAGTTGTCGGTGTTCGGACAGGGAAGCGGTATTATAACGGAAGTACCCAAGTGCAGTCGGGGTCCAGTTCCATTGCATAAGGGCATGACATTCCTTAAAAAAAAAAGGATTCACCGTTTTTATTTTAGCTACTTGTCTACCGACCACAGTACATTTATTGCAGGTGGGCAGGCGGGCGGGTGGGTGGCACGTACAGACACAGCGACGTACCTGAACATCATTGTGCCTGTACAGGCTCAGGGGGGCGCTAGGCATATTGAAGCTCATGGCATTGGGTCACTGTAAGCGACCCAGCGATCGTTTGATTGCTATGTGATCACAATGTCAATCAAATCAATTCGTAACAGCTTTGCTACCTTTACTAGTGAGCTGTGATTGGCCCACAGCTATCACATGGTACCTGGGCCAATCACAGCACCCTATATAATGTGATTAGCTGTAGCCATTCACAGATCAGTAGATTTGACAGCTGTCATGAACTTAACCCATTCATGACAGTTTAAAGCATTGCTGGTACAATGATACAAAGTACAAAAAAATCCCTGACCCAGAAAAGTGCACGGTTACTATGGTAACATTGAACTAACTACTCTGATAAAAGTATTTATAAAAATAGCACAATTAAAAATAATGTTTAAGAAAATATTTCAAATCTTGAATGAAATGTATTTATTTATTTAGTTTTTATTATCACACCAGTTATATGATGACGATGTACTAAGCTGACAAAATGTAAAAAAAAAGTGGAAAAAAAAAACTATTTTTTTTCATTTCATAATCTCCTAAAAATTGTGACAAAAAAACTACAACTTAACCATTAGCCGCCCGGCCAATGGCCGTTTGGCGGCTTGAAATGTGCTCCTGTATTCCGGGTGCACGCCATTTGGCGTGCTCCCGCACATGCGCAGTTTGCGCGGTTGCAGAGCGACGCAGCAGTGCGATCTGTCACCGCCCGTGCACCTCGGACACGGCCGATGACCGATCTGAGTACCGGCTCCCGTTGCCGGTACCATGTGACCTGCTGTGACCAATCACAGCAGGTCACATGACAGTTGTATACAATGGATGGCTTCATTCATGATGCCATCCATTGTATACTAGTGCCTAGCTGTGAATGGTCACAGCGATCACATGCACATGTCATGTGATTAGCTGTGACCAAATCACAGCTAAGCACAAAAAAAAAAAAAAAAAAGCTGAATGAATCGATTTCATTCAGGTAAATGCTTGCTTATAGCAAAGTAATTCTTTGCTATAAGCAAATTGTGTAAAAAAAAAAAAAAATACTGATCACTTCCCCAAAGTAGTACAGTGTTACTATGGTAACATTGTACTATTTTGGTCAAAAAAAAAATCTTAAAAAAAATTAAAAAAAAAGTAATAAAAAATTAAATATAATAAAAAAATAAAAAAAAAATTAAAAAAAAAAATATTTTTTTTTTTCTCATACTGTCACCAGTCAGTGTCGCTGTTCACCGCCATGCCAGTTATATGATGACGCTGTACTGCACTGGTGACAGTATGTAAAAAAAAAAAAAAAAATGAAAATAATTTTTTTAATTTTTTCATTTTCCGAAAAATTATGACAAAAAAATACAACTTCAAAAAACTCGCCATTCCTCTTATGAAGTACGTCGGACTGTCTACTCTGCAAAAAGGGGTCATTTGGGGATATCTGTACTGTCCTGACATTTGGGGATATCTGTACTGTCCTGACATTTGGGGGGATATCTGTACTGTCCTGACATTTGGGGGATATCTGTACTGTCCTGACATTTGGGGGATATCTGTACTGTCCTGACATTTGGGGGATATCTGTACTGTCCTGACATTTGGGGGATATCTGTACTGTCCTGACATTTGGGGGGTATCTGTAACTATTCTGACATTTGGGGGGTATCTGTACTATTCTGACATTTGGGGGATATCTGTCCTGTCCTGACATTTGGGGGATATCTGTCCTGTCCTGACATTTGGGGGATATCTGTACTATTCTGACATTCTTGGACCTCAAGAAATTAGATTGGCCGTCAGTACTTCAGATTGATCAATATTCAGATCTATACCATAGTTTTGTGAACTCTATAACTTTCCTACAAACTAAAAAATACATCCTAATTTGGGTTATTTTCACCAAAGACATGGAGCAGAATACATCTCGGCCTAAATTTACGAAGAACAATTATTTATTTGTAAACTTTTATAACAAAAACAAAGAAAAATGTGTTTTTTTTCAAAATTTTTGGTCTTTTTTTGTTAATTTAGCAAAAAATAAAACCCCCAGCGGTGATTAAAATACCACCAAAAGAAAGCTCTAGTTGTGTGAAGAAATTGATAACATTTTAGTTTGGGTACAGTGTTGTATGACCGCGCAATTGTCATTCAAAGTGTGAGAGCGCTGAAACCTGAAAAATGGCCTGGGCAGGAAGGGGAAAATTGCACGGTATTGAAACGGTTTAAAAAAAACTCACCAAGCTTCATACTTAATACTTTGGACTATCTACATTCCAAAAAGGGGTCATTGGGGGGTGGGGGTATTTGTACTGTCCTGGAATTGTAAGGGCTTCAAGAAATGAGATTGGTCATCGGTACAAATCCCCCCCAATGTCAGGACAGAACAAATCCCCCCAAATGTCAGGACAGAACAAATCCCCCCAAAATGTCAGGACAGAACAAATCCCCCCAAATGTCAGGACAGGACAAATACCTTCCCCCCAAATGTCAGGATGGTAAAAATACCCCCAAGTGTAAGGACAGTACAACCCCCCAAATGCCACCACCAGTTATATGATGATGCTGTACTATGCTTGGTGACAAAAAACGTAAAAAAAAATATGAAAAAAAACACATTTTTTTCATCTCCTAAAAATTGTGACAAAAAACTACAACTTAAGAAAACTCACCAAGCCTCATACTTAATACTTTGGACTATCTACATTCCAAAAAGGGGTAATTGGGGGGGGTGGGGGTATTTGTACTGTTCTGGAATTGTAAGTGCTTCAAGAAATGAGATTGGTCATCGGTACAAATCCCCCCAAATGTCAGGACGGTACAAATCCCCCCAAATGTCAGGACGGTACAAATCCCCCCAAATGTCAGGATGGTACAAATCCCCCCAAATGTCAGGACGGTACAAATCCCCCAAATGTCAGGACGGTACAAATCCCCCCAAATGTCAGGACGGTACAAATCCCCCCAAATATCAGGACGGTACAAATCCCCAAATGTCAGGACGGTACAAATCCCCCCAAATGTCAGGACGGTATAAATCCCTCCAAATGTCAGGACGGTACAAATCCCCCCAAATGTCAGGACGGTACAAATACTCCCAAATGTCAGGACGGTACAAATCCACCCAAATGTCAGGATGGTACAAGATCCCCCCAATGTCAGGACGGTACAAATCCACCCAAATGTCAGGATGGTACAAATCCCCCCAAATGTCAGGACAGTACAAATACCCCCAAATGTCAGGAGATTACAAATCCTCCCAAATGTCAGGACGGTACAAATCCCCCCAAATGTCAGGACAGTACAAATCCCCCCAAATGTCAGGACGGTACAAATCCCCCCTAAAAAAACCAAATGTCAGGAGAGTACAAATCCTCCCAAATGTCAGGACGGTAGAAATACCCCCAAATGTCAGGAACGGTACAAATCCCTCCAAATGTCAGGAGAGTACAAATCCCCCCAAATGTCAGGATGGTACAAAATCCCCCCAAATGTCAGGATAGTACAAATCCCCCCAAATGTCAGGACAGTACAAATACCCCCAAATATCAGGACAGTACAAATACCCCCCAAATGTCAGGACAGTACAAATACCCCAAAATGTCAGGAGAGTACAAATACCCCAAAGGTCAGGGCTTTTGGACGGTACAAATACCCCCAAATGTCAGGATGGTACACATACCCCCAAATGTCAGGACATTACAAATACCCCCCAAATGTCAGGAGAGTACAAATACCCCAAATGTCAGGACGGTACAAATACCCCCAAATGTCAGGACACTATAAATATACCCCCAAATGTCAGGACGGTTACAAATACCCCCAAATGTCAGGACGGTACAGATATCCCCCAAATGTCAGGACGGTACAAATCCCCCTAAATGTCAGGACAGTATAAATACCCCCAAATGTCAGGACAGTACAAATACCCCCCAAATGTCAGGATGGTACAAATACCCCCCAAATGTCAGGACGGTACAGATATCCCCCAAATGTCAGGACGGTAAATCTAATATCAAATCCTCCCAAATGTCAGGACGGTACAAATCCCCCCAAATGTCAGGACAGTACAAATACCCCCAAATGTCAGGAGATTACAAATCCTCCCAAATGTCAGGACAGTACAAATCCCCCCAAATGTCAGGACGGTACAAATCCCCCCAAATGTCAGGAGAGTACAAATCCTCCCAAATGTCAGGACGGTAGAAATACCCCCAAATGTCAGGACGTAGAAATACCCCCAAATGTCAGGACGGTACAAATCCCCCCAAATGTCAGGAGAGTACAAATCCTCCCAAATGTCAGGACGGTAGAAATACCCCCAAATGTCAGGACGGGTAGAAATACCCCCAAATGTCAGGATGGTACAAATCCCCCCAAATGTCAGGATAGTACAAATACCCCCAAATGTCAGGACAGTACAAATACCCCCCAAATGTCAGGGACAGTACAAATACCCCCAAATGTCAGGAGAGTACAAATACCCCAAATGTCAGGACGGTACAAATACCCCCAAATGTCAGGATGGTACAAATACCCCCAAATGTCAGGAGAGTACAAATACCCCAAATGTCAGGACAGTATAAATATACCCCCAAATGTCAGGACGGTAAAAATACCCCCAAATGTCAGGACGGTACAAATACCCCCAAATGTCAGGACGGTACAAATCCCCCTAAATGTCAGGACAGTATAAATACCCCCAAATGTCAGGACAGTACAAATACCCCCCAAATGTCAGGATGGTACAAAATACCCCCAAATGTCAGGATGGTACAGATATCCCCCAAATGTCAGGACGGTACAGATATCCCCCAAATGTCAGGACGGTACAAATCCTCCCAAATGTCAGGACGGTACAAAATCCCCCCAAATGTCAGGACAGTACAAATACCCCCCAAATGTCAGATGGTACAAATACCCCCAAATGTCAGGATGGTACAAATACCCCCAAATGTCAGGACGGTACAAATCCCCCCAGATGTCAGGATGGTACAAATCCCCCCAAATGTCAGGAGGGTATAAATACCCCCAAATGTCAGGACGGTACAAATCTCCCCAGATGTCAGGATGGTACAAATACCCCCAAATGTCAGGACGGTATAAATACCCCCAGATGTCAGGACGGTACAAATACCCTCCTTTTTTGAAAGTACTTAGTCCAAGGTATTTAGTAAGAGTCATAGTGAGCTAAAAAATGTTTCCACAATTTTTTTGCTAACAAAGAAATAAAAATATATATTTTTTTTCCCCCAAAGTTTTCATTGTAATGAATGTTTTTCTCGGTCACAGAATAGGCTACTATTGCACCCCAATACAGCACTTGCCTCAATCCAGAACACTTAGGGGTTTATTTACTAAAACTGGAGAGTACAAAATCACTTCTGCATGGAAAGCAATCAGCTTCCGGGTTTTATATTGCCAAAGCTGCATTTAACAAGCTGAAGTCAGAAGCTGATTGCCTCCATGCATAGATGGCTACGGATTCCAGAGTGCACTACTTTCAGTAAATCTACCCCTTAGTGTCTTATCTGTCTGCTGTCTTTTTCTCTGCTATCAGCATGAATCACATCTGACAAGTTTTCCTGACACTAAGAGAAAAATGGTGACGGGAGGCAGCTCTAGCAGACTGTGATTGACAACTTTCAGCTCTGTTCCTATGTGCTGTGTGATGGGGGTGGTGTCTCTGCTTTCTATTTGTACTATTATTATCCTGCAGATTGTTTACTTTGCTTTATTTCTATTTTATTAAAAATTAATATCAACCTTTTTTTACATTTTTTTTTGCCCTGTGCTGTCATTGGTGCCAGGCTCGCGCCCCGCTGCTTCTAGTGTGGCATGCGTGAGTTCAGACGCCGCGGGCCGGGCCCGGACTTAGTGCCCGTGTCCCTGCACCAGGCGGCACACTGCGCCGGGACCAGCGCCGCGGTGTTCCCTGACAATCAAATTACTTCTTCAGTTTCAGCCATTGACCTTGAATATATTCTCAGGCCCAACTCCTCCTTCACCATACTCCGCTCCTCAAACGTCTATACTCCAAATCTCTGGCAATGCACATGCTCACGGCACCTAAACTTTGTTTGCCAGTGCTTTGGAGGTCTACCCATCCACCCACTCTAAGAGACTGGTTCATGCGCATTGATAGAATTGCTGAAATGGAAGAGTTGCCTCATCTTTGGATAATCCTACTAATTCTCCCATACTTGGGTCCTGCTGGACGCATTTTTCTGAACGACCCCGGAATACCGCTCTCTCTCCTGGGCCTGGCTGATTGACTTTGCATACCTCTTATGCCCTGTAGTACTCCTGGTGCTTTTGTCGGCTCTTTGTTCCTTTCCGATTCTGCTCAGGATCCCTGGTCTTGCAGCCCCCTCATTGTTGGGTGAGCTCTATTCATACCGAATTATGTAAGCAAGCGTTCCCATCTCGCCTCTTCTCAGGATTTTTTAGGCAAATGTCCTTCCCATGGCAGTTTTAGTTAGTGAAGGCACTTCATCTGCCCTCATACCCCCCCCTCACCCCTTCCCTGCCATTCCCTTTCCCATTTACCCATCCCTTCCCCCACCCCCCTTTTTTTTTTCTCTCTTTCCCCCTCTTTTATGATTATTTTTATTCCTTCATCCCCATTTTTCTCGCTATTTCCACTCAGAGATTCTTTTCTTCTTCTCCTCCTCTTTCTTTACTTTTGGATACCCTAACCTGCTTGCAGGAGCACTAACACCTATTTGCTCCCCAACCGTGACATCTCTTTCTTCCCTAGCTTTTCACACATACCACCGGCAGCTTTCGTCGGGTTACCTCAATAGTGTATCATTAGGGGTTTATGCCTTATATGCCTTTACACCCAACTTCCTGCCATCACCATACGTATTGACAATGTGCTCTCCTGACACTTCTGCCCCTTCATTGGCTTTTGCTTGGTAACTGAGGCCTCATATCACCAATTCTGCCAGTGTCGCGACTCCAATACGCTGTACTGGGAACTGAGACCCAGACGTGCCTCTCCATTCCTTATTACCCCTGATACTCTGATTAGCGTTTTATATCTTGCTGATTGTTTACCTACATTTTGTCAACTATTGTCTGCATATTTGTTCCCCTGTAATGCTTGTATCCGCTGTATGCTCTGAGTTCCTAATAAATAAATATTATGGGAAAAAAAAAAAGAGTCCCTTTTGTTGGACATTTGGGCCACTAAATTTATAGGTGCCTAGTGCAACTCACCAACCACATGGGAAAAAGAGCTCCTGGCTGTCCGAGACTGCTTGAACTGCTACAAAACATT